TCCCCCTGTGCCACGCATCCTTAGGCACGGTATGGCCGAGGCCATGGCTTACGCCGCTCACACACGCATGGATTGGGTGGATTCCTGTTAGCGACCGCGAGCGGCGGTAGTCCTTAAGACCCCCACCGCCCGCGACCGAGCCCCCTCACTAACGACAAAGTGGAAACCCCGTGGAGGGGGTAATCTCTGTAATCAAAAAATAAAAACAGCGACGAAACTCGCGGCGTTATGAAAAACCTAATGGATAACTCGCCCACANATTCCGGGCATGTTGACGGACGGACTCCCGCCGGAATACTGACCATTCGAAGATTTCTAATGGATTGTTTTATGTCTGGATTGTCGAGGAATTGGAAATTTGAGGTTTGGATATTTCAGACGTGGATATTTTTTACCGGATATTTTTGCTTGGATATTTAGACCGGTTACCGACTCCGGCATAACTGCAAACTTGAATGAGCTCGCAGTATTCGGAACATATGTGCCCTGATCCTGCGTTCTCATTCTCTTTTCTTTCGTTTTATTGCCTTCCTCACAGCCCCCTCCCGCTGCCCCTCATCGACCTTCGCTGTTGCATCCGCCAAGGTTGCAATTGCCCCCGAGGTTTGATGCAGCTTCGCTCTCTTGCGACGTCTTCTCTCGGCTCCACTCAGTTTGACCCGATTCACATCGGTGCCAGACTGGTCAGCCTAGTCAGACTTCGTGTGTTCGCCATCGCTGGCCCCACCCGATGTTTCTTTTTCAATACTGAGATTTTTTAAATTGGTTTCCATTTTTGGTCCCACGAGTATCGCGGTTAAGCGTTTTCACCTGGTGCATTGCCGCGATTGCCCAGGGCTTGGCTTGTCTCGGGTGGGTTACACCCAAGACTACTCTCAGAGGTCGCCCAGGTTTCTGAGAGGCACCGTTAGCGACACAGCTCCCCCTGTGCCACGCATCCTTAGGCACGGTATGGCCGAGGCCATGGCTTACGCCGCATACACACGCATGGATTGGGTGGATTCCTGTTAGCGACCGCGAGCGGCGGTAGTCCTTAAGAACCCCACCGCCCGCGACCGAGCCCCCTCACTAACGACAAAGTAAGAAACCCATGGAGGGGGTAATCTCTGTAATCAAAAAATCAAAACTGCGACGAAAGTCGCGGCGTTATGAAAAACCTAATGGATAACTCGCCCGCGAATTAAAAATTTGTCTCTCCCCTCCTAATTGAGATTAAGGGATGAAAAAACGGCAGTTCGACAGAGAATTAAATTCTCCATCAATTAACCCTCTTTCAGCCNTAATTGAGATTAAGGGATAGAAGAAAGGCAATTCGACGGAGAATTAAATTCCCCATCAATTAACCCTCTTTCATCCCTTAGTCTCTGTAAGAAAAAATAAAAACTGCCAGGAAAGTCAGGGGCCAGTAAGAAAAATAATTGTTTTGCGGCGCACACTAATTCTCCATCGAACTGCCGTTTTTTTATCCCTTAATTTCAATTAGGAGGGGAGAAGTGAATTTTGAATTCGCGGGCGAATGGTAAATAGTCAGTGTGCGCCGTGAAAAAATTATTCTTCTTACTGGCCCCTGACTTTCATGGCAGCTTTTATTTTTTTGTCACAGAGATTAAGTGATGAAAGAAGGTTAATTAATGAAGAATTCAATTCTCCGTCGAAGTGCCCTTTTTTCATTTCTTAATCGTAATTACGAGGGGAGAGGTGAATTTTTAATTACCGGGAGTCACTGTGCGCCGCAAAACGATTATTTTTCTTACTGCGCTGTGATTTTCATGACAATTTCTTCCATTTTTTACAGAAATTAAGGGCTGAAAGAGGGTTAATTGATGGGGAATTTAATTCTCCATCGAAC